GTTTGCATTGAATCTAAATCAGTCGTTTTCTTGTAAAACTGGTTTATTTTTGAATTCTCTGGAAACTGCAGCAAGTCCTGAGTGTCTCTGAAACTGTTGTTTTATAATAGTTCTTTTTATTGTTCTTTTTTCTGCCTGAGATGTTGCTGCAGTTCAGTGTTCATGGTTTTACACTGGTCCAGACCAGAGCAGAGAGGATTCATGGTTTTACACTGGTCCAGACCAGAGCAGAGAGGATTCATGGTTTTACACTGGTCCAGACCAGAGCAGAGAGGATTCATGGTTTTACACTGGTCCAGACCAGAGCAGAGAGGATTCATGGTTTTACACTGGTCCAGACCAGAGCAGAGAGGATTCATGGTCCGAACCAAGTGGATCAGGTGAAACCACTGGAGGAATGATAACTTTTTGAGAAATGGTAGCAAAGATTTTGGCCTTTTACTTTGGACAGAGCAGAGAAAATGAACCTGCTGCTGCTCTGCTGCTGTGACCTGAAGGACTGTTTCTTATTATTATTATTCTTTGATACTTTTAGAATTATTTATTTGTTTTGTTTGTTTGGATGGATGTGTTTTTGCTGCTGGACACCTGCATTTCTCCTACAGGGATCAATAAAGTATCTATCTAAAAAAAAAAAAATATTTTACCTAATTTCAAATCAAAGAAGCAGGATGTAATGTGTATTGTTCATAAAAACCAAAAGTTGAGTTGGTTTCTCTGCGTCGCTGCACTGTGACTGGTTTTACCCTTCTCCATCTTTGCACCTCTCCCTAAAGAGTGAGTCCTGAGGGTGTGAAGTCCAACGATCAAAAACTCAAACACATTTTCAGTAAAACCACATTGGAGACAAAGAAGACCTAATGTGATTGCTTCTGCTGCAAGAAAAATGCAGGACTTATAACAAGTAGCTCTAAAACAACAAAATGTATTCGCACAATTGTGGATTTGTTGATTCGCCAACACAGATCAGAGAATCAAACAGTTCGGCCTTTGAGTTGCTGCCCCGCTCACATGGACAATCTGGTGAAAACGGGCAGCTCCTGTATCAGACCAGTCTGGGGAATAACAGCAACTGGCCTCAACTACAGTGTGTTTTCTGACATAAACTGTAGAGGGCGCAATACACACATGTTGTTGGACCACATTGGGTGATATCTCCGGATCCGAAAATAGAACACGGGCAACTGACTGAATCCGGAGATCGACTGTTTATCTCCAGTTGTAAGAGCGCTCACTTCGACTGATTTCAGCAACTGATCATCTCCATCATCTCCTCTCAGTCGCCAAAAGCCGCCTTGAAACTGTTGTCTCCAGTTACTCTGTCCATGTACGCTAGGCTTAAGGGGCAGACACCAATGTCCATAAATGTTGAAAAAGTCCATCAATATATTCGGTCCCAACATATCCCCACATTATACAGATTCAGAATTGCTGAACAAAATATGCAAATAGGTCAGATGTGGGTAAACATGCGTAAAACTCTCTAAAAGCCATTTTGAGCAACTGACAACAACTAAAACCATGGTTCAAAGCTGTAAAAAGTCAATTTTGTGGCCATGGAAATAGATCTAGGTCTAACTGGTCTAACTGTGTTCAGATTCTTATTTTCTCTATATACTGTAGTAAGTATAAAGTGTGTGATGAACTTCAGCAGCAGAATTATCCTCAGACTGTTTCATTATCTCTTGATCAATATTTGAAGCTTGTTTTGTGAGGAGTGGTCCCAGCGGTGGCAGCTTTGATTCTTGATGAATGAAAGGGAATTTTGTAAAAGAAACGTCCTGATGCACAAAAGTCATTCGATCAACAAACATCAGAACAGATTTTATGCGTCAAAACATGTTGGTTTTTGTTTTTGATCGCTCCAGATTCAAGGCCTGTCTCTGGGTTCAAACATTTCATTAAGTTTCTGAAAAGGTTTGTTATAAATCTGTGCGTGAGGACTTTACATTCAAATGTTTGGACTTCAGAAACATCTGTATGATTCAGTTTTATTATAACTAGTACAAATGTTTGTTCCGAATGATCCATTGGACTCAAGGTTCAAGGTGACTTTATTCAAACCGATGGGTAGATCTTTCTTTTGCAGTGAAAAAAGAGAGACTTGGCACCTGTACAAAATATATTTGGAAAGTGACATTTATAAAAACACAAACAACAATAAAAACACAACATATAAGTAAAAAAGGGAAAATCAGAGAAAAGTGGTCAAAAGGTGCAAAGTCAAGACTCAGATTAAAAACCCAGGAAAAGAAATAAAGTGGGCGACAGTGGATCAGTTGGTGGAGCATTGGCCTCTGAGCCTGAAGGTTTTGGGTTCGAGTCCACCGACCCCCACTGAAGTCCACTTTCATTGTGTCCGTGGGCAAGACACTTAACCCCACTTTGCCAGACAGAGCATCCTCCTGTGGACTCAGCACCTGCAGGAGGATCAGTGAGGGGCTCCGACTGCCACCCCCGACCCAGAAATGGACAAAGGGGAAGAAAATGGATGGATGGAAGAAATAGTGCAACATGCCACAGTGCAAGTTACAGTAAACCCTGACAAGTAAAGTTTACTTGAAAAAACCATGGAAATAAATTGCATATTAACTTCACTTGAATTCCTCGAGATATTACCAAGTAAACTCAGGTGAATGCAATAAAGTTGAAATTTCAACTTATGCTCCGACCAGGGTTAGACTACTCAGAACCCTGTAGTTGAGAGGTGAAGGTGCTACCCACTCGGCCACCGGACCACCCTGTCATCTACACACCTGTCTTATTAAAGAGTCTACACGTCAAAATGTCAGAAGTGAGGCTTACTTGAACAGAGACAGTTGAATTAAAAGAAAACCTTGAGTGATATAGCCAAGCTTTAAATAAACTAACAATAAATGAGTAATATATACATACTGGGAAAAAATCTATTTAAAATAACTTTGATATCTGAAGTAAGATTGAAGTTAGGGTTTACAGTGTACAGCCTGTCCATGCCCACCCTGGACTCCCTTTGGACTGGCCTCCCACAGGGCCCCAGAGACAGGACTCAACATGGAGAGTCAGTGTTTCACCCATTTTCATCCAACTCGAAACAAGAACTTCAACAGTCTTGGACATTTTCCTCTCTCTTTATCTATTACCAAGTCACAGGGCAGCAGTGTGAGACCCAGACTTCCCTCTACACTTCCTCCAGCTCATCCAGGGGAGTCCCAAGGCACAGTCCCTCTAGTTCCAGTGTGTCCTGGATTTCCCCAGAGACTCCTCCCGGTGGGACGTACCCAGGACACGTTCAGGAAACTCCAAACTCCTCTGTGTGACCGAGTATCTCCTCCTGAGGGAGAACCCGGACACATGTGGAGGAAAAGCATTCCATCTGTTTGTATCAGTGAAATCTCCTCCTTACGGCCGTTACCTCCTGACCACATGTGGGTGGGACTCAGGAACGGACCATAACAGTCGCCACAACACTGTACAGGCTGCATTTTACATCACACATCTCGAACAGTCTTCCTGAAAATATGAGACCAACTTCTACTCTGACCATGTTGTGTCGTTTTGTGAATTTTGCCGTACAAAAACGCTCAGTATCTATATTGACATACATAACATTGCTCTTTCAAATCTCTTTGAAAAATGAATGCGAGTTGAGAAGCAATGGGAATAAAATAATGGGAAGAAGAAGACAAAAAAAAGTGTTTGCTACTTGCTACTGCTCTATATCTTTCCATTTTACCCTTGTTCTTGTGCTCTGTTTAGATTTTATATTTTGTTTTTACCTTAGACTTTTAATTATACCATTGTAAGGTTAAATAAGGGACAGGGCCGTAAAACAGAGCCAGGCCCTGGATTGTGTACACATTCGACCAAAAGGAGGAAGACGTCCCACTGCAGCTTCAAAGGAACAGCGAGGTCGGCCGGAGGACTATCATTGATCATGGGGATTACAGATGCCAAAAAGAGCAATAAAGTCACCACGGGGATAAGCACCTCTGTCTCTGCCTGCCTGTAGAGATCAAAGATCACAACCCTGCTCTCGCTCCCAGGACTCCTGCCACCGGACAATCAAAGACTGCCCCGCGGCGCTCTGACGCCCCCTTGTGAACAATGGACACTATCACACCCGGGACGGACAATTGCAAACCGGCACCCCTGGGTCCAGTACTCCAATCAATCTGCATTATGCCCCA